TTGCTGAGGAAGACTGGCCCTGGGCTAACATCCATGCCCATCTTCCTCTACTTTATATGGGATGCCGCCACAGCATGGCTTGACAAGCGGTGCGTTGGTGCGCGCCCAGGATCTCAACCGGCGAACCCCAGGCCATCGCAGTGGAGCGCCTGCACTTAACCGCTTGCGCCACTGGGCTGGCGCAATTAAAACATTTTTAAATGATAAAGTTAAAACTGTGCAACCACATTACAACTAAACTAGATGAGTGATTCTGAAAGAGGAAATGTATCGTCTCCACCCAGGGCAGCCCGTCTGGATACCTGTGGGGTATTATCCCAACTCCAGGAGAGGCCCTCAACCCCAGTGAGAATGACTGCCATAGTGAGGCACTGAACTGATAGCAGGAAGTATGTCATATCCCTCAGGTGTGTTGGCTGGAGAAAAATGAGGTTGAGAACCATTGTATTAGAGGGATCATGGTAGAGTAAGAAAGAGCAGAGACCCAGGAGTCAGACAGACCCCAGCCAAAGCCAGATGTGCTAAATGTTATATCCACGGCCTTGAGCAAAGCGTGTATCCTTTCAGAGCCTATTTCCCATTCTTTACACTAAAGAGGAACATAGCATGCCTAGTATGGTTGAGAGGATCAAGGGATTTAATTTCTGTAAAATGTCTAGAAGAGTATTGCATATCAGATCCACATTAAATGCTAGCACCCTTTCCCTTTTGCTTCCTCAATAGAAAATCTGAAAGATAATGGAAAAGTGGTCACCCATGGGTCCACCTAACATGCAATCAAGCATTATAATTTTAGAATATTTCTTCCTGGTCTTTTAATAGCTATATTCTTGGGGTATTTATGGCATACTTGATATTTTTAAGTGTTTTCTCCTTGTTAACATGTTATCATAAGCAATCTTCTCTCTTGTTTCTGAGCCTCCCTGCCCCCCATGTCTCTAGTGGTAGCATAAAAGTCCATTGAATAAATTTTTTTTGTGGCCTGATTTATTGAACTTTTCTATTGATGGCCGTTTAGGTTGTTCCCAAGTTTTTGCTCTATTAAATGCAATTGAGGGCCGGCCCCGTGGCTTAGCGGTTAAGTGCGCGTGCTCCGCTGCTGGCGGCCCGGGTTCGGATCCTGGGAGCGCGCCTACGCATCGCTTCTCTGGCCATGCTGAGGCCGCGTCCCACATACAGCAACTAGAAGGATGTGCAACTATGACATACAGCTATCTACTGGGGCTTTGGGGGGAAAAAATAAATAAATAAAATCTTTAAATGCAATTGAACACCTGAAGGCATAAATATTTTGAATTATTCTTTTTTTTTTTTTTTGTGAGGAAGATCAGCCCTGAGCTAACATCCATGCCAATCCTCCTCTTTTTTGCTGAGGAAGACCAGCCCTGAACTAACATCTATTGCCAATCCTCTTCCTTTTTTTACCTTTTTCTCCCCAAGGCCCCAGTAGATAGTTGTATGTCATAGTTGCATATCCTTCTAGTTGCTGTATGTGGGACGCTGCCTCAGCATGGCCGGACGAGCAGTGCGTCAGTGCGCGCCCGGGATCCCGGGCCACCAGTAGTGGAGCGCGTGCACTTAACTGCTAAGCCATGGGGCCGGCCCCTATTTTGAATTATTCTTAGAAAAATTGTTATGGCTTAAACAGGACCTTCATGTCTAAGGAGTATTAAATTTAGGAAATAGTTACTGTACCGCCAAAAATCAATGTTTACTGATGTGGGATGACCTCCAAGTTATATTGTTAAGTGAAAAAAGCATGGTGCAGGATGATGTGCATTATATAAAGAAGGGGCTGTAAGTTATGGATGAGCTTTAAATACATAGATCATCTCTGAGAAGCTACGAAAGAAACTGGCTCAGAGCCATTGCCTCTGGGGAGGAGAACTTGGGGGGATGGGTGGGACGAGGGGAGAGGAAGCCTTACTTTTCACTATTTACCCTCTTCTACTATTTGAATTTTTGATGATGTAATGTTTTACCAATTTTAAATAGATTGCAATTTTTAAATTTTGATATAATTTCCCATTTTCAGAAAAGATGCCAGAAAAGTACAAAGAATTCATGGCTTCCCTTCACCCAGATTCCCCAAATGTTAACATTTTTTAAATAGTTTTTTTAATACTAAAAAATTTTTTTTAAAAAAAGAAATGGGTTCCAGCAGAGGTAGGCAAAGCAGAAACTGTTATGCCCATTGTGCATCTGAGGAGACAGAAACTGAGGGAGGTTAGACAGCTTGCCCTGTAGACGTACAGCGAGTTTGTGGTGGCAGAGTTGTGCCAAACCCAGGTCCTCTGACAACTCAGCTCCTGTTCCCGCAGCATGATTCATACCCAGGCCAGTTTTGAAGGGACGGACTTGACAGTGGATTCCTCGCTTAAAATAACATCTCTTTTCTGAGATTCATCTTTATGTCAGTCTGTTCTTGGATTTCTGAAAATTCTGAGTAACCCTTGGCTTTGTCAGAACAGTAGACAGATGTGAATGGCCCCACCTGACGTCTCAAACGCTTGTGACCTGGTTCCCTTACCAGACCTGCTCCTGGCCGGCTCCTGGCCTCCTCCTGCCAGCGCAGGTTGCCAGTAGCAATTTATAAGCACAATTCCTGCATCACCCCCAATTCCTTCTGAGGTTAAATATCTGTTGAGGGAGAAGGAAAGAGGACTTATAAAATTCTCTTTTGAAAACTTGAGTTAAAATGGTTCTATAAAATTGTACCGTCTCTATTCCATTAGGGGGCACCATTTCCTCACGTTTTCTGCTTGATGAGGTTAGAAATAGTCTATTTGTTTTTATTGTCATTGTCTTAAAAATAGAAATAACTTTATTGTAATTACAATAGCAATGCATAGTCAATATAGAGCAATTAGAAAATACTCATAGGCCAAAAGAGAAACACTTAAAATCCCTCCTTTTCGTAGATTACAACTACGATGCTGATTTCATAGATTACAGCCACTAGTAGGTATAGATGACAACTACTAGTGTTTATCCTTCCAAACTTTTTTCTAGTGGACCTATACACTTAGGAAAAAAAAATAGATTTATTTCTTTATTGAAGTATAACATAAAGTGGAGGAGTACACAAATCTTAAGTATACAGCTTGATGAATTTTCACAAAATTAATACTGCCATGTAACCACCACCCAGATCAAGAAATAAAACATTAAAAAAAAGTCTTCAGATGGTGCCTTCTTACATCCTCGTGGTCACTACCTCCCTGAAAGATAATCACTATCCTGGCTTCTAACATGAGAGACTAGTTTTACCCATTTTTGAACTATATACATGGAATTGTACTGTGTATACTCTTCTGTCTGGCTTTTTTTGTGCAACATTTTATTAGTAAGATTTATCTATGTTGTCGTGTGTTGTAATCATTCATTCACTTTCATCGCTGTGAGTATTTTGTTGTATGAGTTTGTCCTATATACCAGGGGTCAGCAAACTTTCTGTAAAGGGCTGGATGGTAAATATTTTAGGCTTTGTCGACCATTCAGTATCTGTTGCAACTGCTCACCTCTGCCATTGTAGCTCAAAGGCAGCTGTAGAGAATATGTAAATGAATGGGCGTGGCTGTGTTCCAATAAAGTTTTATTTACAAAGAATAGATGCCAGGCTGGAGTTTGCAGTAGTTGCCAACTATGCTATACTTTTGTTAAAAAAGTAAAAATTGTATCATACTGTATGATTAAATTTTTGAGATGTCATAAATAGCCATTACCTATAGCTCATCATTTCCCTGTAAAAGAGGAATTCCAGGAAGGAAAATAATAGCTGGCACTTTTCCTTCTTTATTGTAGTCTTTGGCAAACATAGATGAAGTCGTGAACAAAATTAGACTGAAAATAAGGTAAGTAACACGGTATGATTATTAATAATTAATAAAAATTATGTTGTTAATTTAGTTAATCACATTCTGGATCACACTTGTCTGTGAGAACCCTGAAATCTTAAGTTTGATGTAGATGGTAATTAAAAAAATTTTTTTTTCTTTTCTTTTCTTTTTTTTTTTACTGGAGAAGATTCGCCCGGAGCTAACATCTGTTGCCAATATTCCTCTTTTTTTGCTTGAGGAAGATTACCCCTGAGCTATATCTGTGCCAGTCTTCCTCTGTTTTGTATGTGGGTTGCCACCACAGCGTGGCTGCTGAGTGGTGTGGGTCTGTGCCTGGGATCTGAACCTGTGAACCCGGGCTGCCAAAGCGGAGCGTGCCAAACTTAACCACTATGCCATGGGGCCAGCCCCTAAAAAATAATTCTTTTATGGGGTTTCCATACGAGCCTTGTGGCAAAGGACTTGATTCTTTGATCAGTTTTATAAAATTTCAATTCAATTCAATTGTTTATAAAAAAGGAAGGAAGCTGTAACAGGCTATTCGAAACAGTTGATTATAAAAAGAAGCAAAAACATTTCTATTGTTTTTTTAAATGTTTTTATTTCTCTAGCAGATTTACCTCTTGTTTGTATTCCCAAGGCTTAGATATGAAGATGGGCTTATATGTGTATGTCTTGGCCACATACCAGCTAATAATATGATCACATCTGCTGGTTGGCATGGGTAGTGGCCCAGGATTAAACATTGTAATTAATCTAGGATGTGATTGTCTAGGGTGGTCATCAAGTGTCCTTCCTGCCCAATAGCCTTGTTCTGTTTTATCCACGTTTGAATTTCCAGTTTTGACATATGATAGATACTCAGGCAATGTTTGTTCGTTATAATTATTATTATAATGGTTGATGTCATTACTTTAAATATAGGTATTTTTTTTAAACTTTTGATGAGGAGAAGGCTTCATTTTGAATCCAAGAGATGATTTTTTTCCCTTACAACCTTTGGGTTTTTTGGTGAAGACCTCTGCCATTAATATTTTATTCAGTTGGGTGCCTTAGGAAGTACAAAGAAGCCTGTTTATTATTTTGGTGGACTTGAGCGATAACAGTTCTAATAGAGACCACTAAGTTGTCCAGGGTTTGCACAGAAAATGGAAATTCCCTAATCATCTAAAAATCACTTGTGAGCCAGTTGTTTTCAGCTTTCTCCCACCATAGCTTTAGTGGATTCTTCAAATGAAAAATGAAATTGACTGATATAAATTTCTCTGGTTGAAGTGCCATTAAATGGCCCCTGTTGAGCCACAGGGGAAAGAGAAACTGGATGCCACAGATCTGTGTTCTACAATCAGGGCCCAGAGGGCGAAGCACTGATTTCGTCTATCACTCTGGCTCCTTATCCTTTTTAAGGTTCCTGAAGAAGTTACTGAGGAAGGATTTTGTGTGCGGTAATTTGAATTCCCTGGCTTGTTCCCATAAAGTTTCAGCAACTTTGTCATTCCTGGTTTACTCCATGAAAAATACTAAAAGTTATATTGGTCCTTTAGGGCAGCTCTGAATATTAAGTGAAAATAGCCTGTTTTTTAAAAAACAAAGACGACTCATCAGTCTGTGCTGGACTTGGCTTCTTACACTACTGTTGCTGCTCCCCCGGGGTCCAAGGCCTCAGTCTTCTTTATATCCTTCAAACTTGTTTGGTTTTCTGGACAAGGAGGTGCATTTTGCAGAAGTTGATGGATAAGTTACTAACTTTTTTTTCCTTTGGTCAACCTAGAATAGAGACTTTTTTAATGATTTATATCCTTTAACTTTTTTGCTAGGAGACTGGATGACAATATTCGAACTGTTGTAAGAGGTCAGACAAACGTGGGGCAGGATGGCAGGCAAGTAAGTCACTTATTCCTCCATATTAGTTATACTCCCCTGATTTCTTTAGTCCAACAACCAAGTGACCAAACTGTGGATCTCCCTGCTTGCAGAACACTTGCTTGTTGATTTTTCCCATACGCAGCAGGAAACGTACGTGACCTGTCCCACTAGCAGCAGGGTTAGGCTGCCCAGAGCAGCTATGAACTTGCACTTGGCATCCCTTGGACCAGGAGCATGTATTGTAGCGCAGCTCACTCAGGGCCAGGGGCATGCAAGCTGAAATGAGAAAACCAAAGTTTCCTTGTCTTTCTCCTTAGTGTCAGACGTCTCTTGTGCCCTCCTTTATTTTGTGTACTGTGGCTGCTTTTATCTATCAGCTAGGTTGTTGGGATTTTGATATTACTTTTGTTGCTGCCAAAGATAGGAGTAACCTGTGCATTGAAAGACACTATCAACAGAGTAAAAAGGCAGCCTGCAGAAGGAGAGGAAATATTTGCAAATCATATATCTGGTAAGGGATTAATATGCAGAATATTTAGAGAACTCCTAAAATTCAACAACTAAAAAGCAAACAACCCAATTCAAAAATCGGCAAAGGACTTAAATAGACATTTCTCCAAAGAAGATATGTGAATGACCAATAAGCACCTGAAAAGAGGCTCAATGTCACCAATTGTTAGGGAAATGCAAATCAAAACTACAGTGAGATACCACCTCACACCCATTAGGATGGCTACTAAAAAAACAGAGAACAGCAAGTTTTGGCAAGGATGTGAAAAAATTGAAACGCTATGCACTGTTGGTGGGCATGTAAAACGGTGTAGGCACTGTGTAAAATAGTATGGTGTTTCCTCAAAAAATTCAAAATAAAATTATCATATCATCCAGCAATTCCACTTCTGGGTATTTATCCAAAAGAATTGAAAGCAGGGTCTTGAGGAGCTATTTGTACATTCATGTTCATAACAGCATTATTCACAGTAGCTGAAATGTGGAAGCAACCCAAGTGTCCATCAACAGATGAACGGATAAGCAAAATGTGATATATACATACAATGGAATATTATTTAGCCTTAAAAAGGAAGGAAATTCTGACATATGCTACAACATGGGTAAACCTTGAGGACATTATGTTAAATGAAATAAGCCAGTCACAAAAAGACAAATAGTGTATGATTCCACTTACATGAGGTACTTAGAGTAGTGAAAGTCACAAAGCTGGAAAATATAATGGTAGTTGCCAGGGGCTGAGGGAGAATGGGGAGTTATTGTTTAATGGGGATAGAGTTTCAGTTTTACAAGATGAAAAGAATTATGGGGATGGATGGTGGTGATGGTTGCATGACAGTGTCATTGTATTTAATGCCACGGAACTGTACAATTAAAAATGATTAAGGTAGTAAATTTTATGTTATGGGTATTTTACCACAATAAAATTTTTTAAAAATCAAGATGGAAATAAAGTTCATATATTGCAAAAAAAAAAAAAAAAAAGATGATAGTAACCTGATATAGCTGCAGTTCCTCGTACCTAGTTCTGTCTGCAAACAGATAAGTGTAGATTCATTTCAAAGTTTTACAGTTCTTTTTGGATCCAGCTCAGGAGGCTGTTGGAAAGGAATGAAGGGAAAAAGAAGTGTGTGGGGAGGAGGTATTCTTCAATGACTGAAGGGCCAGATGTTATCTGTTAACCATTTTCCTTTTCATTTGGATTCTGTTCTTCTGTTTAGGCATCATATTTCAGAAATTGCTATCATAACAAATTCTGAGCATGCCATTTCTAGTCTTCCTCTCATACAGTGTCTGGGCCTCTCTTTTCAATACTAGTTCAATTAGGCCAGGTGTGTACCTTTGTAATAGCTTCAATTCTGTTATTTGTCCTCTTTGATATTTTTTAGTACAGCTGATTTTTTAAAATGTTCATGATGCTACCCAGATTATTTCTGGGTGGGGGGTGTAACCCTATGTAGAAATCCCCTGATCTCTCATATTCCTGTTTCCTCTGCTAGTAGCTCACTGGTGTTATGAGTCTCTTTCTTTTTCCTTTACATTTTTGGTTTTATTCATTTCTCTATTTTTCTTCCATTTTATGACTTTCTTTTCCTCTTAATAATCATCTTCCATTGGCCTGTTTGTGAGTAGTCTACCTTCTTCCTTATTGTCATCATCAGTATTTGTGTATAGACGTATCAGGTTCCTAAAACTGATCCTATTTCGTAGTCCTTGCATGGTTCTTAGTCCTTATTGCTTTGTTTTTGTCTGTTTAGGTTTCTTCCACGAAGCATCGCTTCTCTGGCAGGTGAGGCCTGGGTAAATGGGGCCCTTAGAGGTAATAAAGAATAACAGGGTAGCCTGCAAACACTCCCGCCTCATTCTGATCTGTAACTTTCCTACTATATGTCTGCTCGTGTAATCTCCCTCTTCAGAAGCCTCAGTGGCCTCTGTCTACCAGATTAAATCCAAGTTGCTTTGCTTGGCATTCTAGGCCTCAGTCTCCCTTTCAAATTTTGTCTTCTGCTGTGATTCATCCATACTGAAGACTTAGTGCTCTACAAGCAATCCCTGTGCTTTCTGGACCTATGCTGATGTACGTCTTTTTGCCTGAAATGCTTTCTCTACTCTTTTTCTTCCAGTAGCTTCAATCTTACCCGTGTAAGGCCCAGCTCAAATACTACTTCTTTCATGAAATTTTCTGTTTAGCTCATCTGGATATACAAAAGGAATCAGAGTTTTAGAACTAGAAGGACTTGGCACCCCTCTGGTCCACTCCTCTCATTTTACGGATGAGAAAATTGATCCCAGCATCCCTCAATTAGATGTATATCCTTTCTGCCCACAAACTCCCACAGCCCTGTGCTTGTGCTTTTCATCTGGCTTTTGTGTGGCTTTCATCTGAGTTACTAGTAAACACGTCTTGTCCCCTTGACTAGTTTATAAGCTCCTTGAGGCAAGAACCATATCTTCCTCATCTTCACATTTCTTGGAACGCATAGTCCATGTGCAATAACATTTTATTCAACTGTATTGAATATCTGGTCTGTGTGAGATTATTTATTGATTGTAAATAAACAAAACCCTTTACCATAAAAACATCATTTTGATCAGTGTGTGTCTTTCTTTAAAGTTGTTTAAAGCTTGATTTGTGTATGATTAGTCCCCACTTACTACTATTTGAAATAATAACACTACTGTTTAGTGTGATTCAGCCTATATTTAGGATGGCTCACTAGAAACCTTAAAATATTTATGAAGAGAGTCTCAGGTATTTAAAATTCCAAGAATGTGAAAATAAAGTGAATGATTCATCAGGACTTTTTTGTTGGGTCGTGCTTTGTAGATATATATCTTTTAATTATTTATGTTTTAACCTGTGGTCACAAACTAGCAGTACTGGAGAGTTAGGCCCAGAGTTAGACAGCCTGCAGGAATGTCAGCCTTCCCCACCTTCACATATTAATAGGTTACAGGTTGCTGCAGCAGAGCAGGTCATATTTCAGAGAGCAAGACCACATTTTCAAGAATGTTTAGATAGCATTTCAATCTGTGATGGAATTTTGTATTCGTCTCCTTAGAATCCAGACAGAAAGGAAGCCCAGAAGAAATAATTGCTTTTCCTGTCATCCCCTCCATCTGTCTTTTCCAGCAGTTTGTAATGCAAGCTGAAGTAGAGACCTTTTTTTTCCAGGGAGCTCTTGAGTCCTATCCTTGTCAACTCCTAGGGGTGAAAGCCTTGCTGTCCAGCCCCAGCTGGCTGGTGGTTTGCTGAAGAGAAACTCTATTTGACTGGCACAGACTTGGGAAAATTATGGATGTTCCAAAATACTGAGTTTTATAGGTCAAGAGGCCCCAGGTTCCCCTCTTCCCTGGAACAGAGGAAAAGTTTGCTTTCAGAACTTGTTTCCTAAGCTGCTGAGGAACACTCAGGAGGAGAGCAGTAATATGGACAAAAGGAAGTTTTCCTTTTATAAATTTCATCTTGATTGTGTTCAGCCAGAACAGATGTGCTTTTTAATCTGTGTAAATCAGGGGAAAGTGTTTACTTCACATTCATGGTGTCTCAAAAGACATTTTTAGCTGAAAAGTTCTTTTTGAAAAGCAATGTTTCTGACTCAAAGATTATTTGTGGGGAGGGAGTGATTTAGAAATTGAAGACACGGTGAGACAGTTTCTTTAGTTTCTTGAAATTTCTGAAATACCAGCTGCCTGGTTAGCACTCTGCTGCGCATTTCGGAGGGCCTATGATTGTTGACCACCTCCTATGTGGGTGGACTTGAAGTGGTCTAGTCTGTGACCTCTTCTAACCAGACTGTGATGCCCATACAAAGTTAATACAGCATGGAATTCTCCCCATTTTTATCTGTTGAAATCATCAGGCGAAAGCTTTAATTAAATGCCCACATGTTTGAAATTTTGTGGATGAGTCAGTTCAATAAGTACATGATCTGATATGCTATGAAACTTATGCAGCTTCCCAAGAATTAAAATGGATAGCTTGAATGTAGGTAGAAATAGAGGTGAATAGAGGAGTGGGGTAGCAGAAGAAAAAGTTGGCATGTGAAATTTCAAGAGCGGCCAGACCTTGGCCACATCCCAGTAAGGTCACTGAGAATCACCAAGAGAAGATGGGGCAATGGGCTTCTGTCTCTTGAGTTGGTGCTTGGCTACCATGTAACTATTGCATCAGTGCAAGACTAAAGTTTGGGAGGGGAAGAAAATTATTATTGCCATCTCTAGTTCTGCTCACTAAAACTTTGATTTGGTAGAAGCTTTATATAATTGTAGTATAACCTTCCACCCAGTTCAGGAACCCTTTCAGTGACATCTCTGACATTTCATTATCCTGCTTTTGCTTGGATGATTGCAGTGATGGCGAACCCACTACTTTATTGTTCCACAGGACAATCTATTCCAGTTTTGTACAGCTTTAATTGTAAGTAACTTCTTTCTTAGACTGAACTGAAATAGTAAAATAGACCTCATTGTAACTTCTCATTGATCTTAGTTCTGCCAGCTGGACT